GGCGGCGGTCTAGCCGTCTGGGTCAAAACTTCGCTGAAGTGGGGCGAATCGCGGTGGTGCACGTCTCTGTCGTGTTCAACCTTTTAGGAAACTTCCGCCCTTGGGTCCTTCGCCCTTCCGCCCTCGTGACCGGTTCCCGATAGATATCATTTCCCTTTATTAAAAACAAAGTTTTAAAAACAATATCGAGAGAAATTTCATGAAGACCCGGCCCCTTAAGGTAGAGTACAGACGTCCGTAAGATTTGAAAAGCCACTGCTGCGATGTTATCTTCTTCCAACCCAAAGTAAAAATATGTAGAGACATTCTTTAAACCTTTTTAAAGTAGAACAGATGAGATGTACTGCGGGTTATGAATTTTGCTCTGACTAGAATCAGGAACAATGTAGTCCTTGGGGCGCGTCCGACTCTCCAACACTTGTTGACAAGCTCCAAGGCAAGTAAGTGAAAGCTGGCTAAGGTACCAAACGCGTTTAACTGAAGATGAATGCTTCTCTGAGTCTTTGTTCTATAGGATATAGAGTTTTGCAAAAGTATGTCTCTTCTCTGTACTACAGGATGGAAAAGATTCAAACAATACATTTGACCTACACGGAAGGTCAAACTAACAGACGCTACCGTGCTAGCTGGATCAACCTTCTACTAGTTCAGTGTATAATACGTGCTCTACAGTCTAGTTTGTTCCACACCAAGTAGTCACAAGTAGTCACACGTAGTCTGCACTAGGGTTATTTACCCCGGCCCTGGTCCCCTGACTCTCCGAACTTAACTTGGTCAATGGTCAAGCCAATGTTTGATCAAAGTCGAGGAATTCATTTATCCAAATAAAATATTCTCTATTGAATTCGATGAGTCCCTTTGTATTACTCTGCGTTTAAGTACTTAAGTTAATAAAATAACAATAGCACACGTTTCGTGAGATGTATTGGAGCTAGGTACTAACATTTGACACCTGTTACGAGGATAGAATTTCAGCACATGATTTGATGAAACAATGAGTATAAATTAGAGGAGGAGACCCAAACTAAACACGGTACAATGTACATACTAGACGTGTACAAATTTTGTTTTTGACAGTGGTTTCTGTGGTTTATGTGGATATTATCGTGTACGTGTTTTTGTCCCGTTTCTAATACTTTATTTCGCAACGTTTTCTATTTTGTATATTATAGAATGTAGAAAATCTTCATGAATAATAGTTCAATATGGAGAGTCGATTTATTTAGTTGCACTTTATCAATAAATGATTAGAAATTAGCCCACAGCTGCATTATTATAGGGCACCACTGTAAATAAGTACCTTTTCAGGCCACCTCCTTACCTTAAAATTTCAAAGCCAGGTTAAATTTTGAAAAAAGTTAAGTAAAAAGATTTTTTTTTAATGTCAGCTTACGTTAAGATGCCACTTTTTGAACTTATTTTCACCTATGGCTTCAATTAGGTAACAATCAGTCAAGTTATACAGATGAAAAGCCTAGCAATAACCTGTAGGTATAGTACTGCACTAGTCCTGCGCTTATTGAGTCTTGGTGGATCACATTCAATTATAGTGTTACAGTTTGAGTTATACACAGATTTAATGACGTATCACAAATACCCCGTCATGAAGATTGAGTTAGTAAACTTAATTGCATTTAAATCACTTCTTATTATGTTATGCTAGGGGTTACTTATAATATGGTAACATTTTATTGGCTAAACTGCAGCAGACTGATTACACTTAAAGTAATATAAAATAAGTAAGACTGCCATTGCATCAGCACCACACAATATTTCCAGGGGACATGTCCCCTAACATAATCATTTGTCTACGCCATAGTCTGTGCCAGGGTGCAGGTCTACCATAGTCTCATCAATCAATACTCAATACTCATGACTCGTGTTATGGAGACAAATATATTACGTGGCTAATAGAAATCATCAACCTAATAATCATAACAATCCCACCTCGCAGCCACAATCACAATATTCGACAGATAGAAGCAGTTAGCGCAACCTGTTAGTCTTTGTCTGCGAATAATAAGAGTATCCTTATTCCATATATTTATATTTAAATTTAGTTATGGTTATTCAAAAACTTCCGTGAACTAATTCGCTCATTGGGATTAGAGTATTCACGAGCATTAATTGTATTATTACACTTTGTCTTTACTCATTAAACCTTGATCTGATTAGCAGGGTGCTGTCGGTTATTAGCTTATCTGTAACAATACCAATATCAGAACCCACGTGATCGTGTGAATAGCCGAATCACCAATGTGATTAAAGGTTCTGGGCACCAATCACATCAAAGTCTTAGAGGAGGCCACTTATTTCGTCAGAAGACAATTGTTGCCAAGGTTACTGAAACCTTAGATATGTTATGCATGCAGCAGATTAGCCATTCGAACCACTTTTTCAGATTCGAGTCTACCATTTTTTAATGCTTTACTTATGACTACAACTCTGAACGGTCAACATTTTATAGATGATAATTTAATACTATTTCTTTCACAGTATCAGTGTAAACTGTCTTTAGTTTTCTTGAGTCGCTCAACTCTATTTTGTTTTGCGTATCAGACCGCTGGTTTTGGGAATACGAGCGTATTTGTGGACTCAGCATGGTCAAACGTTTGTAAGAAGTAGGACAGTGCGTGAGTTGTGAGTACGAAGGCAATTTACGGAATTTACCTTTTAAAAAGAGTGAACAGTGCAGAATTAGTAAATGCCAAACCTCACTTATGTATTATTATCCTGGCTCTAGCTGCATGATTACAGATACTATAAGTATAAAACTATATATTAGAATCCCTAGAAAAGTGGACTCAGTCAATTATTTTCTAACAACGTTCTTCGTAAAAGTCAGATTATACTTTGGTTTGAATTGGAGCATGGATTCGCTGTTTAAATCTTCATGGCAGCTGAACTTCAAAGTCTCTGTTTTTTCGAAATATCTAACTTTGGACCACCTGGACCTCATTATATACCGACTTTGCTAATCAATTTCCTTGATTCTGATGGCGAATTGTCTTTTATTTGCTCTGAAGATTTCTGTTTTACTATTAATGCACGAAATGTCTATTGTTTCGTCGTATTTACATTGTCGGAGAAGTGTATGGGGGTCGTCAGATTGCGGTTCAATATTAGCAGATGAAAAACCTGTCATATATTAATATACGCTATATGATTGAAGCAGGTGGCTGTTTCTGGAAGTTTTCTTGTTGGACTACTGGCTTTCATTTCTTATAGAACTTATGTTACGATTATACTATTACTGGTTGATTATACTGGTTGAAACATGATGATAATTCATAACATAACACTTGTGTTCAACATTACGTTTTGGATTTCAATTTATTTCTCTTGAACAGAAGCTGTTGTCTCGACCTAATCTCTGTTTAATGGCTGTGTGCGATACATAAAATATCCATTTTCTAAACTTTAATCAGCTTGTTGCTCAGGATTGTGCGATCTGTAAGTTTCCGGTCAAATTCCCTCTAATTTCATAACATAAACCTAGCAAATGAAGATGGCAAAATTATCGGCTGTCATTCTCTCAAAAAGGCCACGCCAGACTGACGAATGCCACCGTCGACAAAATTAATTTATCACTATGCGTCAGCTATAAATATTAGAGCAAAAACTTAAATCTTAATCTTATAACCTATTTGGCGCAGCAGGCGCGTTGAAAGAGCGGTGCTTTTAAAAGAAACTGGACAGTTTCCACTCCTTTCAATGAGTCGCCCTGTCAAGGTCTGTTCATTAGTGTTTATAAGCACAGTGTTGAGGGCGACTGCTGGACACTTCCACATCTTTTCTCATAAGAAAAAGCAGCGAACTATCCCTCATATTCGCTTTTAAAACACAGAGTACCGTTTGCATCAAAGGTCGTCCCTCAATTTGTTGTCAAGTGCATAGTGCAAGTGTCGTTACTAAACCCTATAAATTCACATTATAATTATAAAACTGCTTCTGATCCAGTTTTAAGACAAAGCTCAACTTCTATAGAATAACTCGATTAATACTTCACCGCAGTTATTTTGTACGGCCTATATTAGGTACACCGTATTTCATATTTTCAGCGTCAATACTTTTGCATTCGATGGCAACTACTGAAAAAGGACAACAAATTTCTTGTAGAGTTTGCACCTCCTGGCTTGCCTTGATAATCTGAGATTTTGTAACATTATCTGCCAGCTGCCTACTTCGACGTTTTGATTAAAATTAACCACACTTACTCAAAACACAGATAGTGTATGATGATATCCAGCCAGCTGGTTGATAAATTGTCAACAATGTATTTTGTACATTCCCTGTCCCCGATGTGGCCTTAGCTCCATTCCTTCAGATATATCCTTGACTGTTTCATGTTGGCTATTGATATCTCGCACAACTTAAGTCTGCATATTAGGTTTGGTTTTCATTAATTAAATTTAATCTAAACCTAGTCAACCAGGAGCTCCAAGCTCACCGATACATTGCTATAAAGTTAATTGAATTATGTAAGTCAATTGTAAAATTGGGACAAATTATAGAAAGATACAAATTTAATTATAGATACACATTACACTTGCTGTTTCTCTTATTGCCACTTTTCTGATTAAAGTTTTTGTGTGTCTAATTCATCATATATATATGATATATACGATATATATATATTATATATATATACGATAATATATATATACGATAATATATATATATACGATAATATATATTATATACGATAATATCACAGACTTGAAGCGCGACCCTAGGTGATATTAGTTTATTAATCTAACAGGCGAGTTTGATTATTGTACGCATCACACAACAGTGAAGCGTGATTCGTACAGTGTTAACACATTAGTCTGTAATTATTGAAATAATTGCACTGCTACTGTATGTTTATAATTCTAAATATAATAGGTAAGGCTTGCTCATTCATAGTTTCGAGGTCATCCGTCACATTTACAATCACACTGTAAAACATTTATTACCAAATTCATATTTAAGATCTCAACTTTTCGCCCTCAGCTACAACTGTATTAATGTCTCACAACGAATCTATCTTTGATTTGTACGATATAAAGATGCAGGGTTTCGAATTGTACGCAGCTACATGCTGGTTCATCACCATCTTCTTCTTCACCCTGATCGGAGATGCCATCATCCTTGTTGCTTCAATCAAATACAACGCATTCAAACTTCATGATGGCGTAGTTGTATTCATACAGCATATTGCTGTTTGTGACCTGTTAATGGCTGTCACTTGCATTCTCCCCCAAATAGTGTCACTTGTCGCCAACAGGTGGGTTTTGGGGACTGTCGTTCTCTACATCAATGTCTATGGTCCTCGTTTAGGATTTCCAGCTGGATTATACCTACTCTGTGGGATGACAACAACGAAATTGTTTCTTCTGAGAAATCCCTTGAAATCAAGGTCTATATCAAGAAAGCACATCCACATACTGTGTACCGCTATTTGGGGGTTTGCCTGCTACTTTCCAGCTACACTGATGCTCGTTGATAAAGATGACGTCTACTTCGACTTCAGAATATACACCTGTGTTTATGCATACTCAACTGATAAGAAAAAGTGGAAACTATTAAAACCTTTGGTTCTTGGACTGCTGTCGATCATTCCAACAATCATAATAGTTTTAGCATCTGTCCTTCTGGTAAAATATCTGATCGAGGCAAGGAAACTCTCCAGTAAATGCAACGGAAGCCTCCAATGGAAAGGTATTGCGACTGTTTTGTTCACAGCGACAGTTTTTATAATCTCATCAGCTCCGTTAACTGTCTTTAATCTTACCGAATCTTACGTGGAGCTAGAATACCATTCCTTTCATGTGCATTTCTACAGGACAGCCTACTCTTTCATGTATTTCACTGTTGCTACTAACATTTTTATTTACTATTTCACCGTACCAAGCTTTCAAGAATTCTTGAAGTCGAGGATCAAAACCACCTCCTCTCAAAACAGTAAGAATTTATTATATTCAGCTCTAGACATTCTCAATTTCAAATTTAATCACGATATGATTCCTGTTCAATGCCAGATGTATACATACTGCATAATTTAGTTTAGCTTGTTAACATGATCACAATACTTTTCAGCAGAAATATCGACAAACAGTGAAGCTAGTCTAAGAAACAAGAAAACAAATACAGCCATCTCGCGGGTGCAACTAAATTCCTTAAGTTCAATGAAGAGCACACAAGATTATGGGACAAATTTAAAGAGGGCAAACACGCAATAGATTGTATTATACGATAAATATAATTTAGAATAAGATAGTTGTATCGGATTGTATCAGTTGTATCGGATTGTATAAAATTAAAATTGGGATACATTGTATAAAGATACAAGTTCAATTATAAACACACTTTTATATTTCATTTATTGTTTCTCTTGTTGCTACTTTTCTGACTAAAGTGTTAGTGCGTCTAGACTCTAGTTCATCATATCATATATACGATAATATCACAGACTTGAAGTTGAAGTGCGATCCTAGGTGATTCGTACACCTGCAAAACATTAGACTCGAAACTCAAGTAGGAACCGACCGACCGTTTATGTGAGATTTTTGTAACACAAAGAAAAGAGTAAAATCAGCTACCCAGACCGATGACAAAACAATTCTTTATTCATGAGCATTGCAAGCAGGGGGTTCCTGCTTTATTTTGGTTTAAAAAAACCCAACGCCAGACGCTAACTCCCCTAATGCCGTTACCAAGGATTAAAACAAAGGCCATTATGCCATTAGAAAAACTTTGGACATTATCTCTCGGTTATATTGACGCCATAAACTTGTGAGAGCTGGATCTTTGGTTTTAATTCTAGAACAATCTCTACATTTGTACAACGCAAATCGCAGTGAATTCTTGAAATGTACGTTTTGATTTTATTCCAACTCGTTTCTAGCTCTGCTCATACAGCAGAGCAATCAGTGACCTCTGCACTGCTCGGCGCTTGCACAACTTATCAACCAATGACTGCTACTTGCAGGGTATGAAAACAATTAGTCGGACTGTAAACACTGTTTTATTGTGTCAACATGGCTTTTAATATTGTAATTGAGCCCAAAAATATAAGGATTAATTTCAATTTCCGGCAGCCTCAAATTTCCTCTTCTTAACAGCCGGTCCCAGTCCGGCAGCCAAAACAACAGACAGGTCGAATCCTAAACTCAAGTGTGTGAATATTGAAATAATTGCACTGCTATTGTAATTGTAAACTTGCTTATTCAGAGTTTTGAGGTCATGATAGGCCAATTACAATCACACTGAAGCGTATTCATATTTCAAACGTATATTCAATAATTCATATTTCAATCGTGAATGTAGCACAGAAAGTGGTTCAACATTTATCTTTTCAAATTCCTCAAAAAAAGTCGCCATACATTCTGTCGGAATAAACTGGTCTTAAGTCTAGAGACCTTTTTCTGTCTTCTGACTTACTTAATTATATTCAATAATTCATATTTCAATCGTGAATGTAGCACAGAAAGTGGTTCAACATTTATCTTTTCAAATTCCTCAAAAAAAGTCGCCATACATTCTGTCGGAATAAACTGGTCTTAAGTCTAGAGACCTTTGTCTGTCTTCTGACTTACTTAATTAAATTATGTATATTTTCAATCCACCGCAGTCATTGATATTAAAGGCAGTTAATTTGGGCGTAAGCCGGTAAGCTTGCCCGAAAACCTTTTGTCATCCGAGTTAATCGTGAATTGATCGTGAATTATTCGTGAATTAATCGTGATTATTGTGGTACGCACGTGAATTTCCCTATTTAAATCTTAACTTTTCGCCCTCAGCTTCAATTGTATTAATGTCTCGCAACGACTCGATCTGATGGCACGATATAAAGATGCAGGGTTTCGAATTGTACGCAGCTACATGCTGGTTCATCACCATCTTCTTCTTCACCCTGATCGGAGATGCCATCATCCTTGTTGCTTCAATCAAATACAACGCATTCAAACTTCATGATGGCGTAGTTGTATTCATACAGCATATTGCTGTTTGTGACCTGTTAATGGCTGTCACTTGCATTCTCCCCCAAATAGTGTCACTTGTCGCCAACAGGTGGGTTTTGGGGACTGTCGTTCTCTACATCAATGTCTATGGTCCTCGTTTAGGATTTCCAGCTGGATTATACCTACTCTGTGGGATGACAATAACAAAATTGTTTCTTCTGAGAAATCCCTTGAAATCGAGGTGCATTACGAGAAAGCACATCCACATACTGTGTACCGCTATTTGGGGGTTTGCTTGCTACTTTCCAGCTACACTGATGCTCGTTGATAAAGATGACGTCTACTTCGACTTCAGAATATACACCTGTGTTTATGCATACTCAACTGATAAGAAAAAGTGGAAACTATTAAAACCTTTGGTTCTTGGACTGCTGTCGATCATTCCAACAATCATTATCGTTTTTGCATCTGTCCTTCTGGTGAAATTTCTGATTGAGGCAAGGAAACTCTCCAATAATTGTAACGGAAGCCTCCAATGGAAAGGTATTGCGACTGTTTTGTTCACAGCGACAGTTTTTATAATCTCATCAGCTCCGTTAACCGTCTTCAATCTTACCGAATCTTACGTGGAGCTAGAAAACCATTCCTTTCATGTGCATTTCTACAGGACAGCCTACTCTTTCATGTATTTCACTATCGCAACTAACATTCTTATCTACTATTTCACCGTACCAAGCTTTCAAGAATTCCTGAAGTCAAGGATAGGATCTATCTTCTCTCAAAACGGTAAGATTTTCAGCTGTAAACATTCTAAAATTGAATCATGAATCATGATAGTATTCCTGTTGAAAGCCAATTGCCAGCTGTGTGTACTGCATAATTTAAGCCAGGAGTGATTGGAGCACGTACTTGATAATATTGTCCAGAAGATATCCCTGCCATAACTATATAAAGTTAGTTATACTTATAGTGAACATGACAATACTTTTCAGAAGAAATATCGACAAACACTGAAGCTAGTCAAAGAATCAAGAGATCAGACACAGTGATATCGCTGCTGCGACTGAATTCTACAAGTAGTATCACGAAAGATTATGGGTTAAGTTTAAAGAAAGCAAGCATACAACAGATGACTGTTCTTGAAGAAAAAGATAATTTAGAATAGAATAATTGTATTAGATAGTTTTATCATCCTTTATTTCATCGCCTTTTAGTGTGCGCTGAAGCCCACACTCCACAGCCGTCGTGCATTTAAAATCAGTAGAAAATAGTAGGGCCGTGAAAAATTGAGTGAACATTTTTTAAAATTTATCTTCTACCTTCAATTTGTAAATTATATACTCGTAAGTTTAAATTAACATGTTTACACGTGAAGTAGTAATCCCCGGTTAAAATTATGTAAGCTTTTCGTTCACCAGACAGAAAATATTTGGGATATTTGTCAATTTGTACTGAATAACTTTCAACCTTTCATGTTATTTGGACTTTGATTGAAACAAACGATCAACATTAATGTAAATCAACGGGCAGTTAGTATTCAATCGGTCGTTTAACATTGAAAAATTGAACGGCCAATTATATGAAAGTATGAACCTGGCTTAAATCATGTACGGTTTAAATTATGAACGCTTCGACTATTTACCTGCAAATTATAACCCTAACGAACTTACCTAAAATAAAAAGTAATTACCGGTTGAAAAAACGGTAAGCAATAACCTATAATATCTGTTACGTAGGGTGGTCATAGCACTCCACATTGACTCATTGATAAGATTAATTTCTTACCTGTACAAAGTTTGTATTTTAATCTGTATTGGATAAGTATTAATTATTAGCGGAAACCTATCTATTGTATTAAATAATTTGAGACACAAAGCACCGTTCTAATCTAATAGTTCTTTCTATTGTCTAAAATTAGATATCCAGTGAATTTGGTATAATTATTAAGCTTTCATGTTTGAATGGAATAGTTTTTAATAAGATGTGATAAATGACTTGTTATACTGGATCATTGATTAAGTTAACGATAATACTTATTAAACTGTGTTTTGTTCGAACTATATGCGTGATGGTCATACAAGTATGATAACAGCTTCATATCAGTTACACCTTTTTTCACTTAGAAATTAGAATGGTGTTAAAATTTAGGGCAAATCGTTAAAATATTGCAGTTTTGAACACACCAAGAAAATGTTCACAATAACGCAAACAACTTTGCTTTAGCGTTACCTTCCTGTTTATGGCGAAAAATATATAAGCGAATATCAAATATTAGTCAAAAATCAAATGCTAACGCTTACCTCCGAGTATTTTCTCCAACTTAGAGTTCTCTCTGGCGAACTGCTCGACAGCTAATAAGTCCACCGCCGTGTCACTCTGTCCAACCTTGCCATCAGAATCAAAGAAGGAAGTCATCACCACTTCTCTACCTCTGATAGTCAGCAAGTTTGAGGAAGTGAAACTTTCAATTCCCATGAAGTCAAGTTTGGAAAGTTCAATAGTGTCTCCGAAGAAACCATAGTAGAGAGAGTTGGCAGTTTGGATCACGTATTTACCTGTTGAATCTACTTTCAGAGCTATGTTAACGGTCTGCAGCGAAAATCGGGGTGTAATTAGAAGTGTAACTTGTATATAAGAGATTGAATTTTATAAATAAGCTGTTGAGGAAGGCTTTCTGTTGTTTCAATTTTCTGTTGTTTTATATTTACTCTGTTGATAGTATACCTGCCTTATCAAGATCCACACGATATCCAGCATCAGGCTCAGCACTGTGACTGACAGGTAACAAGTACCAGGAACATCCAAAACAAGGTGAGTATACCACCACACTTCCCAAACCCAACACGTGGGGTGACGAGGGGTGGAGCGAGAGGAGCTGGTCTATACGGAATGTGGTGGGGCCGGTGGGGACTTGATCCAGGGACGTGCTCTCCGAAACAGAGGAAACTGATGTCGGGAACTTGTGACATGTAGTGGGAGACTCCCCGTTTAGGAGAAGGTAGAAGTAAGTTGTGGTGGAGTCGGAGATGTGCTCCATTAGGATTATTTGCTTGGAATTCACACTGAGTACATCAAGAAACCGGAGGCTGGTGTATTTAAAACTGGACTTTGGAGTGTCGTCTCCCGAGCAAATAAAGCTGTTGCTGTCCGAATCTAAAAACTTGGAGACAGTTCCATCCAATGTGACACGATATATTGAGTTTGTTATGATGGAGTCGGTCACATGATCCTCACTTATTGCAAACAGATATTTCTCAATTAGGTCCGAGCTGGCAGAGACTCTTGTGATACATTCTTCTATCTGAACCTGTGTGGTACCGGAGGAGGAAGTCGTGCTGAGGGTCCCATTGTAAAGAATTGCAAGAATGGTTGATGAGAGTTCGTAGAGGTAGGGAGTGTTGTCTAGAAGACCCTGAGGAGTAAGGATTATTATTTCTATCGCATATTTCAATTTTTAGAAATACCTGAACATCCTAATAACCATCACCATTACATCAAAGACTTAATTAACCAGCATGTTCAGCAACGATATCCACACACAATTGACAATTCACTCTTCACGACTTACTGCGGGACATGATAAGGTGGATTTTGTTGATTTAGAAAGTGTGATGAGAGAAGATCCTGTCCTGCTCCAGTAGAGCAAGCTCGACTTTCCTGTTAGAGAAGACAAGTCTAATTCAAGGTCTGTTTGTATCGGTGACTGTAGCTCCTCCATGTAATCTTGACTCGGCTCTGTTTCAGTTGTTAGATTCTGATGAAAAGCGCACAAGTTTTTATAACAATAGGATTCAGATTATACGTTGCAATGTGTAATTTAGCTTGATCTATAGTCTATACGAGAATCGGACTAAAAAACAAGGACATGAAGGCCTAAAAAACGCTGTATGAGTTAATATTCACCAACCTGGAAGAGAAAGGAACTGATACGAACGTGAACTTGTTCGAACTCAGGGGTGCAGGACTGAGGGATGACAGACAAAAGCAAGTCCTCCGACACAGGACCAAACAATGTCATGTCTATCCTTCCTAGAGTGCTGCAACTTGCAGAGTCTGGCGGCTCCCAGTTCACCAAGGAGTCTGAGCCCCAATCTGTTGACGACCTTTAAATATAAATACTGGTGTTAATAATTGTTAACTGTTTAGAACAATAACAATGTACAATGTATTGTTTTTGTATATTAGAGCTTTAGCCACAGGTAGGTTGGTCTGCACGGAGCCCCACAGTTTCAATTCCTTGTTTAACTAGCCGTACAGCAAGGATATCCACTGTGCTCACAAGGTTAGGCACTAATACACTCCGAGGGTCTACTCTGTTCAATGTTACCAGAAATGAGACCATTTACTTGATCAGTATCGTCAGCTTAATAAATTTAATTTAAACTCTCCGCACATGTTGACAGGTCATCATTTCAACTAATAAATAATGTTATAGTAACGGCTCATAAATGTCGTATTACGGAGTAAAATTGAATTGGTCTAATATTGTGTATTTAGTAAGTCAGTATAGGCATTGAATGAATTTTAACAAAAGGTCTTAAATTCAATGAGGTGAGGTACAACAAGTTACTTATCATGCATGAGCCACGACATTATCTTTGACCCTATTTTATGTTCATCAGCAGTAGTCAAACCATGGATACTGCCACCAATTCACCTTCAAGCACATCCATTGATCCAGCAATTGATGCTAGTATTCACACTGTTCAAAGACACTTGGTTGCTCTAGTTTTTGCGTTCAGTATTGTGTGTGTTTTCTTCTTTCTTTGTCTGGAGATTTTCCCACCTCTTTGCCGGTCTAAACCCAGCAAACTACACTCTGGTAATGTTACCCGGAAGATCGAACGAAATTGAAGCGGACAGTGAATTGGAGCGAATTGGAGAGACAGTATATTTTATTGGAACTAAATATAAAACTAGTAAGTGAAACTGAAACTACAAGCTCGTGATGATCAGTCAATGTATGTGGCTTGTTCAATTCAGTTCAAGTTTACCCAAGATTTCATGCGGTTATTACAAAAGGTTGGAAACATGTATCAACATTTCTTGTTCTATATTAAATTGTCTTGATATGCCTTAATGTCGATCCAGTCGAGTAGTATGCCAGAGTTACGATCGGAGCCAGCTTCAGAGTCCGACGGAACTGGTTGAATATTGTAAGTTGGTATAGGCATTGGATGAACTTTAAAAAAGGTCTCAAATTTGATGAGGTGAGGTACAACCGAGAATTTTATACAATACCTCACTAACTTTCTGACAAACAAATTACTTATCATGCGACATGCATGACTGCATGAGCCACGACATTTTCTTTGACTCTATTTTATGTTAATCAGCAGCAGTAGTCAAACCATGGATACTGCCACCAATTCACCGTCAAGTTCAAGCACATCTATTGATCCAGCGATTGATGCCGGTATTCACACCGTTCAAGGACGCTTGGTTGCTCTAGTTTTTGCGTTCAGCATTGTGTGTGTCTTCTTCTTTCTTTGTCTGGAGATTTTCCCACCACTTTGCCGGTCTAAACCCAGCAAACTACACTCTGGTAATGTTACCCGGAAGATAGACTTGTAACTTAGAACGAAATTTAAACGGACAGTGAATTGGAGCGAATAGGAGAGTGTATTTGGTTGGAACTCAAGATCATGAAACTAGTACGTGGAACTAGAACTACAAGCTCACTTGTAAGTGTGGCTTGTTCAAGTTTATCCACTATTTCATGCGGTTATTACAAAGGGCACATGGCATGGTAATACTCAATAGCGGTTAGAAACATGTATCTACATTACCTGTTCTACATTAAATTGTCTTGTTATGCCTTTGTCGATCCAGTCGAGAAGTTTGCCAGAGCCACCTTCAGAGTCTGACGGAACTGCTATTAACGCCCTTCCGCCACTGAGTCCTATACCCCTTGGCAGAGACACGCTTATAATTGTGATTTTCGTGTTGGGGCTGTTGTGTATCGTCTTCTATATCTTGCTTTTGTTATGTCCACCCTTCTGTCGATCGAAACCCTTGCATTTAAAGATGGGATCCAGGAGGAAGCCAGGTAGTGGAAATGATGTCGCAGAACCACCAAACATGATATAACGCATGTAAACTTTCTAGAATCACAAAATATATCAGTTTCGATCCAGACTCCGTACTTACCTAAAAAGAACAAATGGATAGCATTTGGTGATAACGATGTTACAGTCCGAGCAAGAAGCACCAATTTCTACCGTGTTCAGACTTCTGAAAGAAAAAGGTAAACTGACCTCTGTGATATTCAAAAATTCAGAGATTTCATCGGTGAATTACAAAATTATAACATCACAGAAGAGAACAACTACATCTAGAAAGAGAAACTAATTTAGAAATTAGAAACTCACGAGAATAGAAATTGCGGTGAAACAGTGAACTTGCAGCCTTCCAGGGAGACTATAAGGTTCAACACAACAGTAAACACTAGTATCACCATCCTTCCTATTTCATATTAAGTTTCATCAAAATAAGGCGTAAAATTGTTGATTAAGTTCACTTGAAATGTTTGCCATCACTACACACTAAGACGTAAATTATTTATACAAATGTGTATCAACAACCAGGAATATTTGGTTGATTTTCCATCGGAGAATTTGGTTTTGATCAGATTATCAAATAGACTAATAGAAATAAGTATTCAATCAACTGAAAATTGTTTAATATAAACATTTTTGTAAAAGTATATATAATATAATGAACTGTCTAGTAAATAAACTTTTTGTGGTCGTTCCTTCGTAGTATGATTAAATTGGACATATTTATTTAACTTCACGTCATAATTTTACAATATTGTAATGGTAATATCAAATAAACCCTTTCAACCAAAAAGTGCATTGCAATTGTTCTCCGATGAGTTGCCGGAGTCTTCTTCCCCAAAACTGAAGGCAAATCCGGTCGAATTTCCGCCACTGGAACCTGAGCCTCCGCCAAAATCTGAGGAATCCTCGGCGCCACCAAACATACCGAAAGCTGAGGTAGAAGCGGACTCTGACTCAACGAAACCGAAGTTAAACTGGTCACCAGTCGAGTCTGCAGCTTCAAACATTGATTCCCCGGCTTGTGCTGTTGCAAACTGAAACGGTAAATTTTTCGATTAGAATTTCCAAACATAAATTGTACACAGTTGCAGTATAACAGGAAGGGTGAAAAATTTACACTCAAAGCTGAGTCAGATCATCTCAGAGATTGGGGACGGGTCACAAACAAAGCAGAGGTGAACAATTGTAACGTTACTCCGCTACTCTAGAGTCTTGGTAGTACCGTAGTTGGTCAGCTAAAATCTATGAACATCCGTTAATACCTTAATATCCTTTGTTGGGATAAGACCAAAAAATAAAATATCTAACAAATTATTGCTTCGAACTCCACGATGCCGACGTAACGTACCGACTCAAATTGGTTCGAGCTCAGCCACCAGAAAGTTTAACTTATGTCATGGTGGATGCGCGGACGTCGCACTTTTCACAACTTTTAGAATTTAGCGCGTTACTGTCTGCGACAAACTTTATGAAGGAGCATTAAGGTGTAGGAGCATTTGACCAATTTTTTAAATTATAAGTGTTGTTCAAGTTGACACCGATGATTGGCATTGTTTATCAATATCATGGCACGATTCATTGGTTCACCGTTTTTAATAGTTTCAATCAATATTCAATATAAACATCGTGGCAAAAGTCTTCCTGTCAGTCTTATTTCAACATTATCAATATCTTGAATTACTACTGTATACATCGCATTCTTCAACGACAAAAGAAAAGATGATCATCGAAGCCGCAGACAGCGGATACTAGCACTCAAACAGATGAGCTGCCATCTGCTACAGTGGTCCCACATGTTACTAGAGAAGTGGTCCTGGTGAAGCCGGAACTACAGTAACTGCAGCTCCACCTGCACCCAAGACAATGCAGTCAGTTCCACTGCCCTGCATTATTGAAGTGAAACCGATCACTGCTCAAAGTATGAGCCTTCGATTTATCGGTTCTCATCCTGTCATCTGAGGTGACGTACAAAGAAGATATCCTGGTGACCCCATCACAAAAGAGGAACCCTAACCGTGTCTGCGTTTTAGTAAACTACGATTTCATCATTTTAGCAGATACTATCAAGATTTTATCAGGATTTTAGCAACCACGACTTGGATTTTACCTACCACGTTGAGATTTTAAAAAGACACGGGGAGAATACTAAAATAGCATAACAGATCAGTCCTACAGTGCCTCCTTGTAGAAAGGCAACCTGAAAAGAAGAACACTTCACATAAAGAGTCTTTGTCTCGATGAATGTCGCCATTCTACAAAATTTGTAGTTTGAAATTCGTTTTAGGAACATTTCAGGTTTGAGAGTTATTTTTCGATTGTTGCTACGGCTAGTTTTGTACCAACAACAGTAATCCGAGGACAACTCTAGCTAAATGGCTATCATAAAAAACATAATATCTAAAGACTCTAAATTAAAGAAAATCTCCGTTCCATCCGAAACTTACACTTCTCAACCATTCCTTCCATCATTTACTGAACACCAACTCATACAATGCCCATACAATGCCCAATGGCGAACTGTTTGCGTTGTCTTTAACACTAACGGCCTGATATCAAAGCTCGAGGATTCTATAGGGCTGGCCAAGTATGCTTCTTTGATGTAAAAGTTATAAACCCTAATTCAAAGTCTTATTTACATCAGACAACAAAGAAAGTAATGGAAAAAGCCGAAAAACAGATGATCCGGAGCTATTATAACGATAGTATTATAAAGCAACAAGCAAAAACATTTGAAAATGTATTAGGTAATAAAATAGCTCACAAAAAGAGACAAAATTATAAATATAATGATGTGATTAGTTTTTTGCGTGGTAAATTTTTATTTTTAATTGTATGTAATATACTATACTTCCCAAAAAAATGATGATTCATACACGAAACTTAGAGTTGGATAAATATATTTAGTTTGCTTTGTACAAAATCATAACTGTATAATTCAATAATTCATAACTGTATAATTGAAAATATATAGTTAAGCTCGTTTAAAAACTCCTACTGCTCAATCGGATTTAAGTGTTTACCTGGTCAAATGTAAAACTAGCATCCTGTGCTTTAGTATTTTCAGTGGACGTCGCCTGATATGATTTAAGGGTTAACTATTGCATAACATAAAGACTAAAGAAAGGTTAAAAGTTTAAGAAAGAGATGAGTGGAATAATTTCGAAACTTCCTACGTTGGAACTGTTCATGCAATTTCGCCATAACTTTTTGCAGAAAATCTGACCAGGGATCAATAATTGCGATGATATTTGTTTTTAGCTTACATTTGCCGGAGTGGTGTAAACACTAGTATCTTGAACATCATTATTATTTGTTGGGGCAACTGCAACTGGAGTAAAATATTCCTCTTTACCTGAAAATATTAGAGGCTGATTTCTTAGATGACATGACAAAGATTATCAATTAAATTTAACTTAATTAAATATGGGATTTTTTTAAACAAGTTGATAACACTCACTCGGATTTTTGGTTCGCTGGGAACCAGCAAATTTAGGAGGGTTAGCGGAAGCAAGGTCAGGAACATTCTTTGTGGAGATATGTTTCGGAGTAACATACACATTTGGAGTGCTGGATGAATTGGGAGTGCTAAAAGTCTTCGGAGTAGTAAATGACTTTGGGGTGCTAAGATGTTTTGGGGTGCTAAGAGGTCTTGGAGTATGGACTGGTTTTGGTTTGCTCAGAGGTTTAGGAGAACTAAATGGTTTAAGAGAGCTGAATACTTTGGAGGTGGTGACAGGTCTTGGAGTCTGCACCACCCTAGGTGAAGTTAACTTGGGTGTTGTGACTCCCACTGTGTTATATGACGATGAATTAGGTGTGGTTGGTACAGGTATCTGTGAAACAGGCCTGGGAAGAGGTTTGGGCGAGGCCACTAGGGCGGGTTTGCTAAGTTTGGGTGAAGGACAAAAGGAGACATGAGACGCTGGTTTCAACAACTTGGGTACAAAGACCTTTACTGGCAGTACTTTAGGGGATGCAGGGAGAGAGGGTTTCTGTAGAGTGTTAATCCTGTAACTAGGAACGCTACGTCTTGTAACCGAGGCTGATGTAACCATCCCTGGGTTGGTAACTTTTGCTGAAGAAAGGTTTGGTGATGTGGCTGGTGAGGGAACTATCGTATTGGAATCTGAAGAAACTGGGTCAGGTAGGACAGGAGAGAGGTTGTTGAATGGACTGGCCGAGGGTATGCTGCTGGTTATGTAAGGTGTGGAGGAGGGCAGCGGAATAGTTGCTGGCTCTTTTCCTACCCCCTGAAAATTATTTCGTGAAATAAAATGTAATTTAGGCCACTATATATATTTTGCAAAAAAAACATATTTTTCATTCAAGCCATGATTTAAAAGGGCAATATTTTGCAGTTTATTCCTTTTCACCTGCATGAGGTCATCTTTTTCCGAAGTTTGCGGATTACTGAAGTAAGGACTACTTTGAACGTTCATTTTTTCAGAAACACTGTCCATCACTTTCCTATCGTCTACAGCTATCGTATTACCTGCAATTAAAACTATTTATTTGTAAGTTTTTACCAAGTTTTTATCAAGTACAACCCGACTATTTGTTGAGAATTAGTATTGTAAATATTTTTATTTTACTAGTTCTTTGCAATTTATTCCCTTGTTTTGTCTGCTCTAATGTTCAGGCTTCACTAACCTTGAATTGTATCCATTTCTTCCTCATTATTTTGACTTGTTCCATCATGCTGATTCGATTCATTCACTTCACACATCCTCTCAGTTGTTTCCATAGAGATCTCACAAACTGTAATTTGCTCAACTACTTCAGATGAATTGCCAGCGTCTTCATCCTGTCAAATAGATTTTGTGAGTTTAAATGACACTTAATTTAGGAAATTTTAGATATTCTGATCTGACATTAATGTACGAGTACCTCGTATTAACGGCTCGACAAAAATTATATCAATTTATTAGGTGCATGGATAATACACAATATTGATGTGGCGGGTCCATTATACCTGTTCTTGTTGATCAGCGATCATCGAATTTCTCTTATTATCATTTCGTTCATCGCAATCTTTAATACTCAGCTCCTTCATTTCTTCCTCTGAAAATCGCATTAATAATTTTAGAATGTTTTTACAAAACTGAACTTTAATAATTGCCTCAACAAGGTACCCGAGCTGAGGAAGATTTCTAATTATAGGAGGACAATAGTTTATTCAGGGAGGACAATACCTACTCATTATAATTACTTACTTTTTTCTCTGATCCCTTTTAACTGTTCCTCCCGTTCTTGAACTGCAATATTGTTGTGTAAGCTGGACTTTCATGTTGGGTGATGCTATAATTGGAATTGATTGACTTAACATAAGATCATTAACGTCGATGATATTTAAAGATATTATGGCCTTTCATATCATATTAGTATTGACCAATACTGTTAGAGTTCACATTCCTATTAAGAACTGAATTTATTCGTTTAAATCAATACAAATATCAATTTGACAATGTACCTTTATTTCTAAGAGCTGCAACCTCATCCTCCAACAACATGATCTGTGGTACCCCAGGAAAGGAACAGTATACCTTCTGGTGACTGGCCCAGGTATCACGGTAACGTTGCAGGGCCTTCTCGTACTGATCAGCTCGCTTCTTACCATCCTCTTGTAGCCGGCCAAGCTTCTTGTATGTTTCACTGACATGCTGGTGGGACATCTTGTTGGCGCAGGTTAACCTGGAGAGGTTGTACTGTTATTATGTATGCAATAAGAATAAAACAAAGTTGCAGGAATAAAACAACATTTAATTTGAATCATTTATATCAAGTTTATTGAAGTATTTCAACATCGGAATGGAGGAAAAAAACAGTATTCATCCATGACACAATGAAGCCTACAGGTTCTACAAATTGGTACTTGCATACTCAATTGCACAGGCAAGTACTCAACCGGCGAGTATAAGTACTCAACCAAAACAATAACTTTCTCACGTGACAATTAGAGACTGATTAGCAGTGACCTGTCTCTCCACATCCTGAACTTCCCGGCTGAGTAGAGCGTTCTGTTGCTCTGTTTCACCTGTCTGACTCTTCAGTGTATTGATCTGATTCTGGAGAGCTTTTTTATGTAAAAACGAGGTTTGATGTAATAAAGGTAAGAAGTATTGTATTCAAATATAGGCAGAACAGATATTTGAAGCAGACAGGGCCCACTGCACCATAATCTTAAGATTTACTTTTACTCACTTGTTTGTTTTTCTTTCTCGTAATCAATCAATCTGACTAACTTCTTATTTTCATACTCTGAAGAGTATCAAGTTACTTTGGCTGATGATAATTTATATTTATAACCACGTACGAGCTTTATTAAATGGATGGTATCACTTTTATCTGACAATTAATAATAAATATAAGTTTATATGGTTTATTGTAGTGCCCACCTTCTTTGTTGATCAGCTCATGAAGATTCTCGGTCAGCAAATCACACATCCTAAGAAAATTGTTTTAATTGTTTCAATATTCCTCAACACATCATATTCCAAGAACATCATCTTTCAAGAACTGCCTCGCAGTTCTTAATCACGAAAAATAATGGAATAAAAGGGAATCGGAAACCTCGTAGTCGTATTCATATTATCAAGGTTTCCTTTTCAGAAAATCATATCTTAGCTTAGTAGTTGGTTAATCTTACTCATCATTCTGAGAATGTGTGTCTAACACTTATGATAATTTCCATTGTTTGACTTCAATCTATTATTTGGAAATGGTTTCACAAGTTACTGCTAACGGTCCTAGTGACAAACATCACAACAGAGCTGACAGTTAACAACTAGTTCTGCAGATGGTACATAAAGAAATTACCGTGGTCACAAACTAAAGTTTGTTGTAGATCCATATATTCAGTAAAAACTGGACGTGTCTGAGATCATCTGATAAGCTGGTGTTAACACCTACTTTCTAAACTTCTCACCGAAGGAAACAATTGAGCACCATCGTATTTAAGGCAGAACACCGATGGGTGCAGGTCATATTCTCGGTTTCTGAAGCAGAAAAGTATCGCTATGTTGCGTGGTATTCTATTCTTGTCCTGTCTCTATTTGAGTGGTGCAGAGTCGACAACCTACTACTTGGAAGTGCTGCTTCACAAGATAGATGATGCAAGTTGTGACAACTGCAAAATCTCCGCTCTAGTCTACTCTCAAGAAGATAAATTAGGTAGGGTATATTCTGCTGACCTTGGACAGCTTGACAAGCCACAACAAAACGACTTCAAGTCAGATGAATGGGACTATTTCTCTGCGAGAGCGGAGGATATTGGAATCATTGAGTGCATTGAGTTCTATGCAAAGAGTAGTGACGGAATCCTTGTAAGTCAAGTGAGAATATTTTCAACTTCTCATTCTCAGCCAATACACGTTTACAATACAGTAGGCAAATGGCTATCCAACAAATCCATCAAAGATCATGTTCCCAAATTGAAGCTTTGTTCCCAAGGAATAGAGACATACTTCATCACCACAAAAGTGTCCACAAAAGATAGTGCTGAATCCAGCAACATTCATTTGACAGCAGTTATTGAAGGAGCAGAGGCATCAACGAAAACAGGATACTTTAGGCATGCAAGACAAAACGACTTTAGAAGGGGGACACACGACACATTCGTATTTCAGAATCTAAAGGAGGTGCATGGTGTAAAATGTATAACCTTGAAAGCTGGTGGAGATGACTGTCTGAAACTGGAATGGATAAAAGTTGAGTCCTCCACACAACCGACAGTTACGTTCGAGAATGAGAACCTCACAAGTCTCTCCAGTGACAGAAGAGAAGGTGCTAGTTCTCTTAAACTTTGCAAATAACTTTGCAAAGAAAATAGACACCTTTCAACTCATCGAATTTATTTTAAACTTTTTTTCATCCCTAAATATAAATCAAGTCGTTTTACTTCCTTTGATAAGATGACCTGAAGTGTGCTAAATTGCTAAATTGTGTCTGAGGATGTGATGTCACACTGCAAATGCAAGTCATGATAAGCTGCAGCGTAACACACACCACTCAATTACCTCGTCCTCACAATTACATCATGTTTTACATCTGTGTTTGGCTACCCAGTTACAGCCTCAGCTGAGGGTGCTATTATTAAGTTCACACAATCTTCACATCCAAGAAACACTTCAATTGTTATGCCAGGTAAACTGAATAACTAAACCATCTAGCAAAGTACAGGGGGGGGGGGGGGCGGCGCGGGGGGCTAAAATTCAATACCCATACGTTGGGTCTTATACCTACCGCCGTATTTTATATTTGAGATTTGTTGCTTTGCAGATGGCATACTGTACCTACTTGTTCGATGATTCAGTCACAAAAATTAGAAAATTCGATTTTTAGGGGCCACACCCGATCAACATTGAATTGCTTATACTCGTGTGTGTGAACATGTTAGAGACTCTGTTGTAACATATTGCAATAGGTTATTGAATCTGGAATATAATCTGAAAAGATGGTGCAAAACGGATTTAAAATGACGAAATTATCATGCAATTTGTTTATCTTGTTAGCAAAATTGACAGGAATCGACCGGAATTGGCAATTTTGAGCTATCCCGGTCCCGGTCCCGGTCAAATGCTGATTTATGATCCCGGTCCCGGTCCCGGTTAATTCATGATTCTTGGTCCCGGTCCTGGTCCCCGGGTCCCGGTCAATCACTCAAATTTGCTGGGATTTTGACCGGGATCTTTTACATAATTTCATTCACTGTGATTTTAAGTTTTTCCTTTCATTCATTGTGAATTTCATCTTTAAATATCCTCTGAGCCAAATAAAACAATGTTTAAAATTGCTAAACAAGTTTGAGTAATAAATTATGATCATGAATTAAGGGGGGGGGGGGGGTTCACCCTGATTTTTTTGTGAAACTTGGTTTCGAGATAGCAGTTGACCAACAAACTAGGACCGGTGACCGAACTTTTGAGGGGGTCCCCGACCCCGACCGCCAAACGGTGCCCGCGGGGCAGCCACGCCCATATTTGGTTCAAATTAGGCCCAATTTAGCCAAATACCCTGAACATGCCCAAAACCCAGATTTTATGTGCTCTTCTTGTAGCTAGTGGTCCCCTGAACAAGTATATGAATTTTCATCAAGATTGGGCAAAAAATGACTGAGTTATGAGCCAAAAACCATATGACCATATTTGGGCATACGCACCAAATTTGATCGATTTTGGCCCATAAATTGGTCAAATATCAATATTTTTGAATGAAACCAACTTTATATGAAAGGTAAGCTTATACTACACATTCTCCATGATTATCAGCTCAGTATCTACCTAACTGTGGATTCTGTGTTCAAATAATCACAAAAAATGAACTAAATCGTGCTCCATATCTCAGTTCGCGATATTTGCGAAACTGATTTCGCTCAAAACAATAGAACTCAATAGGGTTTCAATATTTTTACATGAAATTTTCAGAATCAACGTAGAATCGCATTTCGACCTTATCTCTTGTATTGAAATTTTGAGTTAGGCCTTTAAAAAATTTGGCGGCCAAATTCCAAAATTTGCCAGGCATTTTTCAGAATTTGGCCGCCAAATTTTTTTAAAGGCCTAACTCAAAATTTCAATACAAGAGATAAGGTCGAAATGCGATTCTACGTTGATTCTGAAAATTTCATGTAAAAATATTGAAACCCTATTGAGTTCTATTGTTTTGAGCGAAATCAGTTTCGCAAATATCGCGAACTGAGATATGGAGCACGATTTAGTTCATTTTTTGTGATTATTTGAACACAGAATCCACAGTTAGGTAGATACTGAGCTGATAATCATGGAGAATGTGTAGTATAAGCTTACCTTTCATATAAAGTTGGTTTCATTCAAAAATATTGATATTTGACCAATTTATGGGCCAAAATCGATCAAATTTGGTGCGTATGCCCAAATATGGTCATATGGTTTTTGGCTCATAACTCAGTCATTTTTTGCCCAATCTTGATGAAAATTCATATACTTGTTCAGGGGACCACTAGCTACAAGAAGAGCGCATAAAATCTGGGTTTTGGGCATGTTCAGGGTATTTGGCTAAATTGGGCCTAATTTGAACCAAATATGGGCGTGGCTGCCCCGCGGGCACCGTTTGGCGGTCGGGGTCGGGGACCCCCTCAAAAGTTCGGTCACCGGTCCTAGTTTGTTGGTCAACTGCTATCTCGAAACCAAGTTTCACAAAAAAATCAGGGTGAACCCCCCCCCCCCCTTAACCAGTAATCGACCGGAATTCCCGGTACCGGGATTGGCAATTTTGAGCTATCCTGGTCCCGGTCCTGGTCCCGGTCAAGTCACATTTTTCATCCCGGTCCCGGTCAAATACTGATTTATGATCCCGGTCCTGGTCCCGGTTAATTCAGGATTCTGGGGGGGGGGGGGGGGGGGCCAACCATATTAAAGTATATTAAAATGTAGGATTTTTCCCGACTTTAATATACTTTAATATACCTACAATATACTTTAATATATCCCTATTTCCTTGGAGGCCTACATCAAAAATTGTTGCCCAAAATAAGCTTGAAATGCAATTCTTAATCGATTCCAAAAAGTTCTTGAAAAAATATTGAAAACTGATGGAGTTATTTCAATTTTAATGAATAGAAGTCATTTTTGCTAGTATTCCGAACCGAGATATTATGTGCAATTTTCCCAATTTTGTTCATGGAGGTCTTTTTACTTAGTATCCACTATATTCAACAAACACTGAGTTATATCTTTCACATAGATCAGAGTTAGTATCATTAAAAAATATCGAAATTTTATCGAATTTGGGCAAAAGCGAATTTGGGCAAAAGTGTATGCCCAAATATGGGCATATTTTTTAAAGCTCATAGCTCAGCCAATTTTCGACCAATCGCGATGGAAATTCATGTACTAGTCCTAAAACAGGCTTATCTTGCGAATCTGAGTGAAAAATATAGTTCATCATGAAGATCTTAACGAAGAATATAAATTTTCTAATTGTAGGTATATTAAAGTATATTAAAATGTAGGATTTTTTCCGATTTTGCCCCGGGGATATACTTTAATATACTTTAATATGGTTGCCCCCCCCCCCCCCCCCCCCCCCCCCCCCATTCTTGGTCCTGGTCCTGGTCCCGGTCCCGGTCAGGCCTGAAATCATGTCCCGGTCGATTCCTGAAAATTTATTGGGTAATCGATGATTACCCAATTACGACACCGTAATTGGGCTCTCTGCACGATTCCCATAGTGCGGATCTAGCCTCAACCCACAAACTCGTTATGCTTCATATTGCGGTCATCTGAGAAGCTAGTACTCTCATTTTTCAGGACAAATTTAAATGGTCAAACACAAGTCAATAAAATTTGGCTCGATCCAACTATCCAAACTATCAAATAAATGCGAAAATTAACCTCCATTTGAAAAACATGAACACGAATATTTTTCGATTTGACAAATTCCTCAAACCAGTGGTGGTAGTAGGTCATACCAGTTGTTGTTGTGTATCTTTTGT